GTAAGGAACAGTGCGCGTCGCGCATGTGATTCTGTAACTAACACGGTAAGACTAAAGACTAACACGGCAAGGTTGATATCATCCCAGTTACCCAATTCTGGTGTCGCATACCTCGAATTTCATCTTCTTCGTGAATGCGCCGATGTCAGACCAGCATTGATATTGGCACACACAAAAAAACAAAGATACCCTCCTCAGCATTATCCAATCTCTAGGATACCCTTCCCCCTATTACCGAAATGATACTGCCTGGGTATATTAGAAATTAGTAATATAATCTAGGTTGCGTTTATATGCGTCGTCCGTCTGCATATATGCATTGTCATCGTCGGTTATGGAAGCCTCTCCCTTGACCCAACAGGCTCGGCCTGAAATCTTCCAGCCGAAGATCGTCCAACTGTATGAGGCGTTATTCAAGGTTCGGGAGCATTGGATTCCCCTATAGATTTTTTAGAAAATTGGCCGAAAGCTGACAATGGGAATCCAAGGTATGTCGGTTCACGCTGGAGTTGACACCCGTACTGTCGGGTCGCTGACCATCCATCACTCGAGTAGGATGATGTCGACCCAGAAGGGGATAAGCCTGAGGGTTTCTGGAGAGAGTTCTTCCTTCTAAAACCGGACCGACTTGCTCTACAACGAATACTATCCCGTTTAGGCCCCGACGATCTCATAAGCCTCCAATCGCAAACCCAACAACTTTTCTTTCGAGCCGTGGAATGCTTAAAAAAGGGCGGCGGTGTTGCCGATTTGCATGCTCTCGAGGTAAACCCGAGCTTTTCTTCGACGGTATTCGCAGAGGGCGCGCTTCTGACTACTCCCGCAATAGACTTTGACAACTTTCTTTTCTGCGATACTTCCTAAGAAATACACGAACCCGAGCTCGGATATTATAGCTGTGTTGGCAGGGCTAGATCAGGTTGACGCTGTCTTCACTGATTTCGTAGGGGCTTTGGACGGAATAATCCGCAATGGAACGTCGAGTAGGGTTATCCTCATACTAGTGACTCGGGTCAACATGCTGACCACGGGGACATAGTGGAAGTTCGGCAAAAAGCCGTCGAGGTTGTGTTGTCCATCACCTCTGGCGCATACCAGACAAGTCTTTTGACATATTTCATACAACGGGATCTCTTCCCTGCAATAATGAAGGTTAGCTTCTTCTAGACCCTGGCTCTCATCTGAGGTTGACGTGGCCCAGTTCATTCAGGAATCGGACACTCCCTACAGGGTTCTAGAACCGTTTACGTTGTTAGGCCTATTGGCAAATTACAACAAGTTCGAGTTCCAGAACCCTTACCAACTACGGCTTAATGATTTCGTCAATGAGGCGACTATTCAGAAGATCGTTAGATGTGTTGGACACACGTGCCGAAACCTGAGAGGCCAATATGTCGATATCTTACAGGACTTACCTGAAGGATGGTCTATCAGTAATACTCTGAATATGATCGGACTTGGAGCCATTGCTCCTGGGGCAAAGGCGAACCAGAAGCCAGCGTATGACCCGGAGGTGGCTAAACAGATGTTTGCAAAATTGTGAGTCGTCGTTCTGCTAAGCTTGAAACTACCACTGATTCAATTAGACCGGGCGAAGAAGCTGCCGTACTGCTAGGGACATACGATTTCAGCCACGCCAACAAACTCTTCTGCTTCAACCTCGTCGCTTTGCCTGCCGAAAAGGGGGAAGAGCAACCCATCTCTAGCTTCCTGTCGTTGACTTCTTACCTCCTACAGCACGCGTTCCTCTCTACCCGAGCTACCAATTATGCGCACCTCAGTTTGATGGTTTTTCGGTTGCTTATTGAAGACCAACTTCTATGTAAACGAATATGTAGCGATGAGAGTAAAGTCGCCGTCAGGCTCTGCCGTCAACGGCAACCATTCCTACCAGTTGTCCGAGGGGAGCGCATCCTAGCAACGAGCGTGCTAGACACTATGATTGATGGCGTCAACCACAATCTACGCCGTAGGCTAGATGTCAGTCTCTATACTTTATGCGTCGGCATCATGCTGCGTATCATTTCGTACCTCTCGCGGTCACGAACACGACTACAGTATCATTGGGCCGAGTTGTTTCGCTCACTCTTATCCCTTATCCGCTTTCTGACAACTTATGCCGCCGACCTCAAGGATCTACCACATTTTGATTCTCTCCTTGATCTTGTGGTGAATCTCTTGGCCCTTTCCCTCTCCGCGGGCGAAGCGTTTCTTCCCACCCCCGCCGCCTACGACGATCTCTTCTACAAAGTTGTAGAAAGTGGCGAGATTTTAGTAAAGTTCCGCGACACCTATTCCCTCTCGAGTCGACCATCAAATTCTATAAGCACTCTCATCAGCGTGAGCACGCACTACAAGACGATGCTCGACTCTGGCAGTTCCAAAAGGAACCTCACCAGTACTGAGGTAGCAGAGGTGATAAAGCAGGGCTATGAGACGTTGAGTATCCAGGCAAAGGAAGGATTAGATGGGTGGGAAAGATATCGTGAAGCAGACGAAAGAACACTATTGAAGAAGATGGCACGAGCGACCGTCGCAGACGTCCAGGTTATCGTCCAAGCTTAGGTGGTATGGAAAGTAAGACGGATCATGATGACTCCTAGGGGGCCACAAAGTGTTTTCTTGTGAGACTCTCCTTTCCTAACCTTCCTGTGGCGTCTATTAAGTTTATAGTATAATGTCATAGCTCAGGATTGCGTGACCAGAACATTTTATTACAACTGAGGTTTCTCCAGTACGTGACTCCTATAACAGAGCAGGTGTCGCCCAATGTTCTTCGTCCTAATTCCGTCACAACCATTATCAATGTCCTTTTGCCCAGCAAGACCAATATATTACATTCACAATACAACAAACATGGTTTCCTTACAGCGAGATATCGCGGCTCAGGAGAACATGGATTTCGAACAGGATTCAGATAGGACGTCTTTACCGAGTTTAGCCGTAGCGCCTCCCGCGTATGACAACCTCCATACAGGCCTAGGAGACAGCGGTCTACCAATACCATGCTATTCCCAGAACTACAAGTGATTGGTGAAGTATCCTAAATATCATTATGTTATCGCAACTGTAAACTTTTACGTGCTTATTGAAGATGCAGGCCGTTCGACGCCAACCTTCTCAGCACATTACTTCACCCATAGAATTTCCGTGGCCAGATGTTCGTCGCTGTTTTTAACCCATCTTCTAACGGGAGACCAGCATGATTGGTCCGCTCATCTCCCGTGCCGTTCGCAAATAGGTTGACCCACTACAATAGGAGTTAACGATGATCACAAGAATATGGGGAGTCCAAGAGTAAGAGCAGCGGCGGCTCTCGAGCCTCCCGCTGGGGTGGGGATGGGGGGAATCAAAGAAGAGGATGGAAGGCGTATGAAGGAGCAGCGTTGTTACTTACGAAGAGAGCATTCCCAGAAACAGGCCTGAACGCCAAGCCACCTTCCTCATGCTTCCTCCAGAGTTGCCGTCCATATTTGTCCGCCTTTGAGGGAGCGGTCGTATTCACAAAAGGGAACCACGTCTCGCCGCCTGTGCACTGGTCTTGCAGGATAGCGAAGAAGCTGGCGACGCGATTCCAGCTCTTCCCACGGCCCAACATGCCTCTTCGTACAGGCTGTGGGCTTTTATACCAATCATGATGTCTATTAAAGCGCTGGCCTGCCGTATAGCGCACCAACTGTGGCGGGCCGATGTCATCTCGGGAGGGATCTAGCATCGTACCGAGGAAGGCCCCGGCTCTTGCTAGCACGCACTGCACAGCTGGGTTGTCACGAGGCAGGCCGGCGGACGAAGAGGTACGGTCGGAGGTGCCTTGATCCCGACCGCGTTTGTAAACCTGGGACGGGGTGAACTCGGGCTCGCCAGCTTCAAGTAATGCCGTGATCTCGGTTGGCGCGAGAAAAGAATCAATGTAAATGAGAAGGGGTTCGAGCGAGATTATCTCGGTTGTGTATGTGTGAGGAAGGCAAATGAAAGGTGAGGTTGAGGATGAATCCTCAATATCATTACTGAATATCTTCGAGACCGCTGACGACAACGACACAATATGCGGAGATAGCGTTATTAGATATGAAGATGCAAACCAGTACAGAAGCGGAACCGTTATGGCGATGAGGGTGACAACGAGGGTTGTGATGCCTGTTGGCCGACTTACTGGAGCCATGTTGAATTACTGCTATTCACAAAGTAGTCGGCGCTACGGCGATGCAATTTACATCGATACAAAAGTCAAGCGTAGATCAAATCAGTTTATTTTAGTGAAGAATCACGGTCGAACGAAAGTTAGTAGTTCTAATAATGCCCGAAGCCCTCTCAAATAGTTTTGATGACATCTGATCCCCTCTCGACGCTTTCGGAGAACCTAGCTCCGAAAGATTACTCTTACATAGCTATTAGCTATTGATGCCAGCTAGTGCCGGTGGCATGAGTGGTGACACCGCATGCAGGCTGAAAATCCTGGACTTTTGGAGGGCAATTATTTGAGGAACGCCTTTCAAACCATGTACAAAATTGGTTACTCGATGTGACATAACATTTCACGCCCATGCCAGAATGAAACATCTCTGAATGCCAACCTATGGGAATTGATCTTCAAACGCCAATTGTCCAGGATGTACTATGACGGAAAATTCAATATCATGAGACTTGTTATATACAAGTTCTAGGCAAGTCCATGGAAACTATCAACCTTTACCTTGGAAAGGGGTATTGTTCGTACCTATGAAATGCTTCCTCATACTGGGAATAATAGAAATGCCTGAGTGAGTTATAACCTATGGAGAATTGATATACCTTCTCTTTTCTTGTTAGGTTAGGCACCTACTGTCATCAATTAATAAATTGATAGTTACTGCTAACAGATACCTGCCTAATTACATTATCATTACGGCGTGGTGGCGTTGCCTTAGGGAAACAGTGACAAAAAGTGACTTTCTGAATATCTTCAGTATATTCCTACGGCATTAAAAAAGCATAAAAATATGATGTAGACTGACATGTTTCTCTCGATCGGGGAATTGAACCCCGGCCACCTGCGGGCTTAATTTCGCCAGTGACTATATAGTCTACCAGAGAAATGATGACAAGCAGGTATCCTAACCACTAGACGAATCGAGAATTTCTAGTTGTTCCATTGGTGAGACTAATTCTCGTGACGCAGTGGAGCTTTTGATAAAGATAAAGTCCTTGTAAAGCTGTTCATAAAGAATTAGTGTTAGGTATTATATGTGGACCGCCTCCCCTAGGATGGCCAGTTGGTTAGCTTCGTGAGTCTAGGGGATCACCAAATATGTAGTAAAGAATATACTGATATATAATAGGAACTGGAAGCATAATGACTGTAATAAACTTATTAGAGCCTGCAAGCTCTAGGGGTGGCCGTCTCTTGACTCGATTAGCTGGTAAATAAGCGTATTGCCTCAAGATTTTGTTATTTGGACCTAAGTGTTTATCGTTATGGTACTACCAAATTCACTAACACTCAAGTCATATCTAATGATCATGATTGCTATAATTTATAAGGCTTGTCGAATGACCAGAGCTCCAACAGCTAGGTTAGCAAATCATGGTTGCAATGAAGAAAGACTTTTTCCCATGTTGATAACACATATTTTAGTCAACACAATTTCCGTTACTCAACATGGAAAACATTGAAAGGGGTAAGAAACCGATCTGGTTAATGTTTCAATCAAGGCGTCAAGTACTGTTCAAGTTTTGCTATAGATTAAGGTCTTTCTCTCTGCGTACATCTTATCAAGCTTCTTATTGAATTCTTTACAAGGGGGAACTTTCGGAATAGGGGCAGGATTATTGATACGTAAATTATGCATTTAGTTAGATGCAAATATCGATAAAAGGGGGCGGTAGGGCAGGCGGTTAGTGAAAAGTATTATATGGGTCTTTCATTACTTGGCTCACTAAGCGCGGAGAGGTCAACTTCGAAACTTCGAAACTTTTTCTAAACTAAAGATCTATTGTGTCTGGATGGGCGTTACAAAGTACAGCGATAGGACTTCCTCGGGATGTTAGATCGTGACGTAGACCCTCAGCTGCTTCTACTGCGCCGACAGTATATGCAATTATTCGAACCTGACTTTCTCGCTTGGCCACCACCTAAATTTCTCAAGGGCAAAGATGTGCAGAAATGGCTGTATCGGTATATGTTCGACCAAAGTCGAAACCCAAGGCTGCCGCCTGAGGGATATCAGATGCATGTTTTGAAGCAGCTCATCTCCAAAATAGAGAAAGTAGCAGGAAATCCGGAAGATGTAGGTTCCTTATTCATAATTTATCCTAGGTACTCTTGCGTGTTTCTAAAACCATTAGGAGGTCTCGAACGAACTTAGGGAATGCTATACGTCCTTCATGACCAGAGAAGTGCCGTCAGAATTCCAGGCAGCTCAGGAGAAGGCATACGTAACGTTCACTTGCATAGCAGAGAAGACCTTGGATGGTGCTGATAATGATAATTATGATGATGGACTAGAGCCTACAATATCTCTACTCGAGCAGCGGCATCTAGTATCAGGCTCTCGAACGACAGGATTTCGGACATGGGAAGGGTCTCTACACTTGGGCTCTTATTTGCTAACTGGCGCTGGCTCACGTCTCGTAAGGGGCAAGAACATCTTGGAGCTTGGAGCTGGCACTGGGTTCCTCACTATACTTTCAGCAAAACATCTGAACGCAAAACACGTTACCACAACAGATGGCGACGAAAAGGTCATCAAGGCATTAAGGGAGAACCTTGCATTGAACGAAGTTGACGATCAACAGAGAGTCAGAGCAGAAACTTTAATGTGGGGTCGTAACTTGAAAGAGACTTGGGTTGAAGATGACTGTGCTGCTCACCCATATGATGTTGTTCTGGGAGCTGATATTGTAAACTTACCTACAGACTCCAGTCATCCTAGAGAGAATGTTTCGCTAACCTGCTTTCTAGACATACGACAAGGTCGCCATAACAGCCCTCGTATCAACACTTAACGGTCTCTTTGATTTTAGACCAACTCTCAAAGTTATAATATCAGGCGTCATTCGAAACCCCGAGACATTTCAGACGTTTAGAGACGAGTGCGGTGTGTATTTGCGAATCTATACCCTGTACATCTGTATGCTTAGTAACGCTGACAAATTGCTTCAACTCTCGTAGCTTCCCGACGCTTTGCTGTTAAGGACATTGAATTTGAACCAAAACCAATGCGCCAACAGAAAGCGCTATTCTATGCAACCGCTATGCCTATTAAAATATTATCTATCACTCGTCCTTAAAGTTATGTGTTTCCGAACTACTCCGCAGTTAACACAACTTCACCAGCCCGGAGTTTGGCAGGAGTATACCTTAATATAAATAGATTATAGTGCGAGTTTCGTTGGCACCAGCTTTATCGGCATTGCGGTCGACTTGTTGGAGCATGAACCTGCCAGAAATTTGGGGCTTGGGATGGTGTAGATAACGATCCATGCCTGTGTATGCCGTTCCTACTGTCCCTTCTTTCTCTCTTAAGTGACTCGTATGGTGATAGTAGTGACCGTCATATTCGGGGCATATATTGCGGAATTTGGAACCTGGTACCTCTACCTCTACCCAGGTACTCTATTTAGTTACAGAATTAGTGTATAGAAGAGAGTAACGCCGTAATACGGAGTAGTAAGTCCGAGTCGTATTAGGCATCTTCCACAAATTTAAACAGACAGTTATGATCTAGAGTGCGCCTGCTAACTTCGACATGGGAGACGAAGTTTGACCAATCACGATCGTATGCGTGATGCGTACCCAAGTTTAGGAGTCAATCGAAGTCTGAATGTTGTGGATTCCTGTGGGCGAGGAAAGGGAGTATGAGACTCAAATTCATAGTTCTTTTCGTATTTACATGGTACTAGGAGTGGTAAAGGGTCTGGGGTACTGGTCATTTTGGATACGCAGTTGCCACTATTAAAACAAAGCCAAAAGCATATAGATCAACGCCAGAGTCACGGACCAAAACCCGACGCTCCGCGTGTCAATACCTCTACCCGCAATACGACCTGCAGCACTGCTTCCGGTGGCCGAAACGCCCTCTCCAGTAGCCGTTGAAGATGCGGTCGGCGCGATCGATGAAGAACTACTTGGGTTGCCGCTCCCGCTGCTATTCCCGCCGAATATTTCTGGGAATAGCTGCGTGGAGTTCCTGTCCCTGATAATTCCATTAATAATGACAGCAGTGCCATTCAGTACACTTTCAATCTGGTCCTCGGTACACGTAGATGTGTCATAAATGTAGCAGAAATGCAGCAAGTCCGGCGGGTCCTCGTTCTTAATGGCCCACGTGTCGACAGGACCTTCGGTAACGTATCCCGGGTTTTCAATTAGATCGACGGTGCCGGTCGCGATGTCCTTGTTGAATAGAGCGCGATGGAATAACTTGTACGCTGTTTCGGGTTGATACGCGGGCACTTCGTGACCGGCTTCATAGACGCGGGAGAAGGAAAAGTTCCCATACTGCCGGACCTGTCCCCCGACATATGTGTCGTTGATGACGATATCGGTGTACCCCGCGGTGTGGAACTCTTCGGTATTAGAATAATTGACGGCCAGGCTGACGGCCTCGCCGCCAATCCAGTTGCAGGCATAGTCGCGGTCGCCGTAGATCATATGAACCTTGATTCCGTTTTCAAGGAGGAATGCGAGGTCTTCTACCCATCCCGGTCGGTTGTAGTCGCCTATGGCTCGGAAAGCATACGCGACAGCACTTGAGGATTGGGTGAAGTTAATGGGGACGCCGAGAGCGCTTTGAACATGAGGCTGGTTGAGATATTGATTATAAAAGGGGGCTGGAAAAGGGTTAGGATCGATGGAAGCATAGTCGTAGTAATTGCGGCCTGAATAATCAAGATACGGGCCCCTGACATAGTTGGAGCAAAATGTTTCCGCATCAGAACATACTCTGTTAACAGTATCGTTTACTCCAATATTGTCTGGGTCGTACACAACGGATAGGGCGCGGCAGTCGTCGATTTGATCGCGGCAACCACCCGGCCGCTCCAGAGCATCCACCATCCCCTGGTAGATGGTCTGGTTGACCGTCTCTAAACCGTATGTATTGTTGTACGCAATATGCGGATAGGCCGGCCATTGGATCTGGCGATCTATACAAGAATTAATGAGGATCAGCGTATCGAGGTTGAGGATGTAGTTTTCGCCATCCGTATCGTTCCAGGTGCCGTTCTTGATCTTTAGGTTCTGTTCCTCGAAAAAAGCTGCGAACTCCGGACCGTACCTACCACCATATGACTCGGTAGCAATGCTAATCCTAGAGTCATTGGGGTGGTACCCTGGGAACTCTTGAAACCAGGTCTGCGCAAAGTGCCAAAGAGCAATGGCAGCATTACGAGTACCTTTGGCTGTTTGGTTTCTGTTCTGACTTGGGTATGTGCCGACTAAGAGCGTGGTATTTTGCTCCGGGATGGGATCAGACTCGTTGAGCTTAACGACTCGTCCAGAGACGAGATCCTGAGTCACGTTTTGTAATACGTCGTATGAAAAGCCTACTTGAGTCGGTTGGTCAAGGAACAGCATATTAACTTGAGCGAATTAGCAAGTGTATCTTCATCATTAACTAGCTCTAGGAGAGGGTAGTAATATTCATCTTACCGTCTGTATTCCAAGCCCATTGGCTCAGTCTAGTTGAGTTAGAGTCGGAATTCACGTAACAAGGTCCATTTTCCGTGAAGAGCCCATATAGGGAGCTGCTTCCGGGGCCGCCATTCAGCCATATTGACAACGGTGCATTCTCTGGGTCGTTCCGGGCCTCGAAAAACCAGAAAAATGTATTGATAGGATACGCCTGATCCTCTCCTAGGTCTGCGAGCGAGCCAGGCGGTAAATGGACATAACCCGCATAGGATTTGACACCCGGTGTCGTCTCGCAGATGCCGGGCTTTAAAAAAAAGGTTAGGGCTAAGGATTCAGGGTTGATAGGTACCGGTTGTTGCGTCCAAATTATCATATACTCACCTCCTTGTAGCTAATCGTGACTCCATCCCCGAATTTCGATTCGAGAACGGTGACGTTTTCCGGCGTTGGAGGGAATTGGGCTTGAGTAAACGGAACAAGCACTGAAATGGTGAGGGCCGTG